ATACTATTACTTAACACCTATGTTTATGACTGCACTGTCGGCCTGCACAAAATCTGTTAATTTCCTGAAGAGATGTTCAGACATCATGCATCTGTAACCCTGTATTTTAGGTTATGATTATCTTTTGTGATATTGAACAAATAATCTGTCTACATGCTTGTACTTGGATATACTCCCTCTTTTTTTTTTCTTTGACACAAAATGCAGGACGAAAGTACTTGTATTTGAGCTCTAATTTTATTTGTATTCAAGGGATATGAGGAACCAATAATCTTCATATCCTAGGACAGCGTCTTGCTGCATTCATTAATAGAAGCCTGGCCGTATCCTTGTCATTGGGTGCTCGTAGATATTGCGCTCCTTAAACCTTCATGATTGTTTCAGCGAACATTTTTGTGCACTTTATGATTTTATCTTCAGCCATTTGAAGATAATCATCCAATAGAGCTGCATGCATGCCATATGCACTCATCAGAAGTGCCGCATTCACTTTATGATAAGGGGAAAACCATGGTATTTCTCTGTTCCCGGAAGAATGGTTCATTAGCTTCCATGTCGTCGATCCAACGGAACATCCATGGAACAACCCGACAGAAAGTAGTCGCATATGAGCTTCTCGTGGCCTTCTGTTCTGTTTTGATGAAATGTCGCACGACCAACCTGTGATCTTGCACGCTCCCTCTTTGTGCCGGTTGCCGCTATCCAGTCAGCAACCATCAAGAGAACATATCATCTTCGGCGTCCATGATTTTACTCTCGGACTCAAGCTTGAATCCAATGATGAATTGTCCAAAAATAGCTCTACTAGTGGATCCATCTACATAGAATGTGAATCCTATGCCATCTATATGAGCTACGAGCTGCTAAACTAAATTTACAAGAAACGTTGGCGAAATCTACCTCGGGGTAAGTCGTCAAACACCTTGAGATCGAGCGGTGGAAGGAGTGGCACGACGAGATGGCGAGAAACAGTTGCGGGGCGGCAATGAAGTATGGGAAGTCCAGGAACAGTCCGGCCAGCAGGGGTGACACCAAATGGCGGCGGCTAAAGAAAGTGTGTCTCCCAAAATGTCTGTGGTACCAATACTTGGATGGATGGAGGGCTCGTCCTCGTCCAACCACCAAATATGAAGGCTAGCTGGCTGATATGGGTCTATGTTAGAGTTGCTCTTAGCGGTTAGAAACGTTTTGGTATGCTCTTACACTATTTAAAATGCATATCAAGTGGCCACCTTTGGTCATATTTGTGCAACCCAGAAACCCTAAAACAATAGCATGTTACAACATGTGCGCCTGCATAGAATTGTTGAAAAATAATACGTCCACTGTAAAATGAAATCAAATGCTGTGATGTTAAGCTAAAAATATAGTATATGAAATGCTGTGGCTTTATGTTTTCTTACGTGAGGAGCAGAGCATCTCAGCCCTTTTCAAGCGCGACTAACTCTGTCCGTTGATTTCTGATCAGACCGCAGCGCACTCTCCCTGTACAGGCTTATCCCCCCAGCAGAGGTGGTGTTCCTCCGCATAGGATAGGCCAGAACCCAAATCCACAGCCATGGCGCTCCTCCTGTCACCCACCGTCTCCTTCCTCGCCCCCTCCTCCTCCTCCGCTCCTCGTGCCCGAGCTCTCTCCAGCTCTGCCGCCAACAATAATGTCGTCCCTTACCTCGGTAAGCTGCCCTTATGCATCATCCTGCCATTGCCCCGTACGTTCGTTGAGGTTCCATGGCTAAGTAGTACTGTATTAGTACTTACTGGGGGATCCCTTGTTGCCAAGTCCGATGACGAAATCGGTGGAGGAATTAGTTCGGGCGTGCGTAATTTTAGTCGCGGCGTCTCTGCTTGTCCTCGATGGGAATGGCTCGTCCGGGAATTTCAATTTCTTCAAACAATCTGTCTGCACCAGTTTCTTGGAAGAATGTTCATTTTTCACTGCTAGCCTACATTTACTACTACCTCACAAGGTTGCTCCTTTCAAACTTAGTGCTACTAGCATAGGCCACCGCTACGGACACTTGATGAAACCTGTAAGCACACCGTGGCAGCTCGCGGTTTGCAGGTTGCTACAGACGAGTTATTGAGTTTACATGCCATATGTTTTCTCTAGCAGCTCCATCTAATGATAGTAGCGAGCACACTAAAATTAGCTACTGCGCATTACATATGCTATGAGCAATGTGACACACATGAGCTCAGAATGTCAATGTGTACATCAGTGTAAGCATAGACAGGCCATATCTTTTCTGTAGCAATTCCATCTAACGATAGTAGAAAGCACAATAAATTTAGCTACTGCACATTACATATGCTACGAATCATGTGACATACATGAGCTCAGAATTTCAATGTTTACATCGGTGTAGTGTAAGCATAGATCCTACTAAGTGTCGTTTGTCATTGCTCTTCTTGTAGCCTCGAGACTTCAGTGCAAGACCGGCGCCTCAGTTAGCCATGTTTCTCTTGCCAAGAAAATGCCCGTAGTTGTCCACGCCTCTGCAGAGGCTGGTGCAACTGATGCCGCGGAGCAACCAGAGAAGCCAAAACCAGCGGCTTCTATCGAGGACATGCCGCTCGAGTCCAAGCAGCAGATGATCCTGGAGCAGAGGGCACGGATGAAGGTGGCCAAGAAGCTGAGGCAGAGGCGCAAGCGGCTCGTCCAGAAGAGGCGGCTGAGGAAGAAGGGCAGGTGGCCACCGTCCAAGATGAAGAAGCTCAAGAATGTCTGACCGGCACATGATGTTAAACGGCTGGTCTTTAAACCTCCGTGTTGCGTTCCTCTAATGCATTGGTGTCTGTTTGGTTTGTACAATTTTTCTGTTCTGAAACACATAATCGGTTATAGTGCAGTTAACTATATTACCATAATGAAATGAAACCTTTTTGCGTGTCCATAGCAGCGGATTGATGTGCTTTTAACCAATTTTAGTCTATGTTGTACAACTGTCTGTCTGAAGCACGTTTTGGGATGTTTTCTGTAAAATTTTAATTTATTTCAAACATGATATTGGAATGCCGACTAGTCCTTGGACACCATCTTCCCTCAAATATGCAGTGGCTTAAAACTTGGAAGGAACATCGGTCCTTTTTCGATAACAAAAACATCAGTTTTCAGACAAGTCTCGTGCTTGCTGAAAGTCTGCTCTTTCAGACGAGTTTCCACTGGCTTTGATAGCTCAAACGAATCTCCGTTTGCTTGCTCAGTTGGTTACGCTGCCCAGTATGTGAATACTGCACCCAGCCCTCTCCTTTGTGGCCCTTGATGCTCAAGGAAGGAACAACAAGAACAAGAGCAACAACAACGTACACCCCCTCAAACTCTTTACAGTCATCTACTACTTGTCAGTTCAATTTTAACTGAAAATAAATTTTTTATCTGTCTATCTATAACATTCATCGTCTGGATCTTGGGATGCATCAAGTTCCCACTGAAATAATAACTGAAGAACAGGAACACCATGACTTAAGTTGATTCTGGGTCTGCTTGGTCAGTCAGTAGGCAGGCCTGAAACAGAATGGCAGGCAGGCGGAATAGCGAGAAGTGGATGCGGCATTGTCATGGAGCAAAAAAGCTTTTGCTATGTGCTGGCACTTGACACTCTTAAACCTCACATTCCTCCCTTGTACTTTCTCCCTTTGCTCCCCACCATCTCATCTCCAGTGGCAATGAGTTTCTGATTGCGATCCCGTCTCGGATCTCCACCCCAATATAAAATTAAACAGTCATCATGATATTGCCATACCAAAGCAAGAAGGGAAAATAGGCAGTGCTCTCAGTGGCGAAGCTAGCAGCGAGGTACGCCTAGGGCTGAGCAAGCTTGAACATGAAATTCTTCAAATTTCCAGTACTTTGTAGAAAGGGATTACAAGGAATCTTAGTACTAGGCCTAGGGCTATAGCCCTAGTTGCCCTAGGCTTGTTTCCGCCACTGAGTGCTCTGAAGATAATACTAGTATGAAACAAATCCTTAATAAGAGAGAGAGAAAAAGAGAAGCAGTGCTGAGAAAAGAAGAAACACATTGTTATTAAGAAAACAGTTTTGCTAAATCTCAGTCGGCCGAGACTTTGTTATGTCTCAGTCGATGCTATATTCCTTTGATTTTGCATGAAGATTCGTAAAAAAATAATAATTTATTCTCAGTTTTTCTTCTTTTAATATACCATATCACTTGACTAAAACTTGGTTAAGTCTCAGTCGACCGAGACCATAGACACACCCTTAAGAAAATGCGTTGAGGTGAGAGCTCAACTAGCAGAAAACGAGTGCCAAAGGCAATTCGATAAGGTGCCTGAAAATGACCTGCCCCACAGCCCCAGCGTTGTCCAACACTAGGCAGCAGTAGCACCGACATGGTTAGCACTGCCGCGCAGCTTTAACGACATGTGCGGTTAAATACCACGACGACACGGCAAAAGATTCTTGGCCGACATTACGATCCATCACTTTCCTTGTGATATACAGTAGTAGTAGTTGATCAGCAACCACCGGTGAAGAAGCAGTAGGGTCAGCTCTAATCATGGGCAGAAGCACTAAGTAAATAAAGCTTGAGATATAAGCATCGAAACCTTGTTTTACATCCGAGAGAACCGCTGCCGCTGCAACAGTATGGCTGGCTGAGTGTCACTCATAGCGCATATATTCCATCCCCCAGTGCCAAGCAATCTCTTGAGAAGAAGAAAAAGAAGAAGAATCTGTCAGCATTTGGACATCATCTCATCTCAGACGGCCATGTGGTCGATCAGCGACGACGAAGACGAGAAAGCAGAGAAGCTTCTATCTATCTATCTATATATATGTACTAGACCCAACAAGAAAAGAAAAGCGAGGTAAAGCAGCAGCACCAGAGAAAAGGAGATGAATCGGATTCCGATAAACAAACCAAAAGGAAGGAAGGAAGGAAGGAAGGAAGCAAGGAGGCTACAAATTGGGCCCAGCGCGCATGCTGCAGGCATCATATCGGTCACTCCATTTCTAGCAGGAAACCAGGAGTGAGGGATCAATGGTGAACCGCGCGCACTTGGTCATCCTCGTCCTCGCCTACCGCCTCCTGGTATCCCTCTCAGCTGAAGCACAGGCACAGCACACCAAAGAGGTAGCTCTAGTAGTAGAATTATTACTGTTATACTAGATCGCACCCTGCCATGCATGCATGCATGCATGCATGTGTCTCAACTCTCAGCTCTGAACCCTTAAAGGAAATGTGATATCTCAAGTGGTTTGTTTGACGGGCATCATCGTTTCAGTCGTATGTCGTCTACATGGGGAGTCCTTCCGCTTCCTCGGCAGCCGGCGACGTGGAGGCGGTGCGCGCCGCCCACCTTGAGATGCTGTCGTCCGTCGTGGCGAGCGGCGAGCAGGAGCCACGCCCGTCCACGCCGTCGCTCACGCATAGCTACCACCACGCGTTCCAGGGCTTCGCCGCCGACCTCACCGACGAGGAGGCCGCCGCGCTGTCCGGTTCGTTCGTCGCGGTTTTGTTTGTTTGTTTCTTGTGATGACGATCGTGCGCCAGTGAGTTGATGGTGATTTTGTTTTGTTTTGTTTGGTTGTTGCACCACCAGACCACGAGAGGGTGGTGTCCGTGTTCCGGGACCGCGCTCTGCAGCTGCACACCACGCGTTCGTGGGACTTCCTCGACACCCAGTCCGGCCTCCGCACCGACCGCCTCGGCCGCCGGGCCTCCGGCGATGTCATCATCGGCGTCATCGACACCGGTACGTGCGCGACTTATGACATGGGCATTGCCTGCAACCCTTCTGATCCGCGCGCCCAAACCTTTTTGATTTCGTGTCCTACGTCGTCAGGTGTCTGGCCGGAGTCGCAGAGCTTCAACGACGCCGGGATGGGGGACGTGCCGGCGAGGTGGCGAGGCCTGTGCATGGAAGGCCCGGACTTCAAGAAGAGCAATTGCAACAAGTACTCCTTATGTCCTAACAAAACAACACTTGCCATGTTGTGCACAACG